CAATACTCAGGGACCCTACCTAAGTGTAGCAAATGCAATTTTCACCATCATAGAGAATGCAGGGAGATGCATTGCACGAGTTGCAATCGAAAGGGTCATACCACAAGATACTGTAGAACTCAGTCTCAACAGAACCAACAGTCAAACAACAACAACAATAACAATCGCAACAACAATAACAACAATAACAATGTTGGGGCCAGTTACACTTGTTATGGGTGTGGAGAAACTGGTCATTTCAAGCGCGATTGTCCCAAATCCAACAACCATGGGGCAGGAGCATCAGGAAGGGTATTGACATTGGGTCAAGGTGAAGCAGTTCAGGACCCAATGGTTGTTACCGGTACGTTTCTACTTAACAACACTTATGCATGCATTTTATTCGATAGCGGAGCCGAGCGAAGCTTCGTTAGTAACAAGTTCAAACGCTTACTAAATCAACCACCCCAGAAGCTCAACGAAGCATTCACGGTGGAAATGGCTAATGGGAAAACCGAAACAACCAAAGATGTTTATGTAGGGTGCACATTAACACTAAACAATCATTCATTTCAAATAGATTTGATGCCAGTAAATATTAGGAGTTTTGATGTGATAATCGACATGGATTGGTTAAGCCCCCATCATGTTGATATTATGTGTCGCGAGAAGGTCGTTCATCTTCATCTCCCCAATCATGAAACCCTAATAATCTATGGTGATAAACCTGGCACCAATCTTCGTCTTATCTCGTGCATCAAGGCACAAAAGTGCCTGCACAAGAAAAACTATGCATTCCTCGCCCATGTTGTGGATAAAACCAAAGAAGAAGTAAACATTAAAGACATCCCAGTGGCATGTGACTTCCCGGATGTATTTCCAGAAGACCTTCTGGGAATACCCCCAGAAAGACAGGTCGAAATTTGAATCGACCTAATACCAGGAGCCACATCAATTGCCAAATCACCCTATAGTTTAGCTCCCGCCAAAATGCAGGAGTTATCCAGCCAACTAAGTGAGTTTTTGAGCAAAGGATTCATCCAACCAAGCTTCTCACCCTGGGGAGCTCCGGTCTTGTTTGTCAAGAAAAAGGACGGATCTTTCAGAATGTGCATCGATTATAGGGAATTAAACAAGCTCATTGTCAAAAACTGATACCCACTCCCTCAGATTGACGATCTATTTGACCAGCTTCAAGGAGCTAGTTACTTCTCCAAAATAAACCTAAGATCCGGTTATCATCAACTTTGAGTCCGAGAAGAGGACATTCCAAAAACTGCCTTTCGAACTCGATATGGTCATTACGAATTTGTTGTGATGCCCTTCGGTCTAACAAATGCCCCCGCTGCATTTATGGACCTCGTGAATCGAGTTTGCCGCCCATTCCTTGATAATTTTGTGATCGTCTTCATCGACGATATTCTTATATACTCTCGAAACAAAGTAGAGCATGGTCAAAATCTCCGTCAAATCTTGGAAACCGTAAGAGCTGAAAGATTATATGTGAAGCTCTCCAAATGCGAGTTCTGGATCCGCAGTGTAAACGTTTTGGGTCATGTAGTCTGCGAGGAAGGGATTCATGTAGATCCTTCCAAGATCAAGGCCATTGAAGGTTGGGCGATCCCGAAAACACCAACAGAAATCCGACAATTCTTGGGTCTTGCAGGATACTACCGAAGGTTTATCCAGAATTTTTCCAAGATAGCCAAACCCCTCACCACCTTGACACAAAAGGGTGTGTCTTTCAACTAGACGGAAAAGCAAGAAGCCGTCTTCCAAACCTTGAAACGAGCCCTCTGTATTACACCAGTGCTATCCTTACCAGAGGGAACCGAAGATTTCGTAGTCTACTACGATGCTTCGAATCAAGGGTTAGGCTGTGTCCTCATGCAGTGTGGAAAGGTGATAGCTTACGCATCCAAGAAATTGAAGACGCATGAAGTAAATTACACCACTCATGATCTCGAGCTGGGAGTTGTGGTCTTCGCCCTAAAAATTTGGAGGGACTACCTCTACGGTACAAAGTGCACCATCTTCACCGATCACAAAAGTCTCCAACACATTCTAAACCAAAAGGAGCTAAACATGAGGCAGCGAAGGTGGGTTGAGCTGCTAAATGATTATGAATGCGAGATCAAGTACCAACCAGGCAAGGCTAACGTGGTAGTCGATGCCCTGAGCAGAAAAGAATACTCAGGCCGCCGAGTGAAAACCCTATAAATAACCATCCAATCCCACCTAACCTCGCAGATCAAGGAAGCCCAATCGGATGCATTGAAGCCGGAGAACGTCACGAATGAAACACTGCGTGGGATGGATAAGAACTTTGAAGCCATGGAGGACGAAACTTACTACTTCATGAATAGAATCTGGGTCCCTAAACTTGGGGGATTTAGAGAAATAATCATGAACAAGGCCCATAAAACGCGATATTCCGTCCATCCAGGTTCGGATAAGATGTACTTGGACATTAAGCAACATTATTGGTGGCCGAATATGAAGGCAGCGATCGCCACTTACATGGGCAAGTGTCTCACTTGGGCCAATGTGAAAGTGGAATACCAAAAGCCCTCGAGACTATTACAACAACCAGTTATACCCGAGTGGAAATGGGAAAGGATTACTATGGACTTCGTAACCAAATTACCTAAGACGGCAGACGAATTGGATGCTATTTGGGTGATTGTCGATAGGTTAACTAAATTCGCTCATTTCCTGCCAATAAAAGAATCGTACAAGATGGAAAGATTAACACGAATCTATATCAAAGAGATCGTGAGACTCCACGGAGTGTCGGTATCTATAATCTCAGATCGGGATAGTAGATTTACCTCACGGTTTTGGCAGTCACTCCAGAAGGCTATGGGAACACAGCTAGACATGAGTACTACTTACCACCCTCAAACCGATGGCCAAAGCGAACGAACCATCCAAACACTCGAAGACATGCTCCGAGCCTGTGTGATTGATTTTGGCAAGTCATGGGATACCCACTTGCCCTTGATTGAATTATCGTACAACAACAACTATCACGCAAGCATAAAGGTTGCTCCATTTGAGGGCTTATATGGTCGCAAATGCAGATCACCTCTCTGTTGGGCTGAGGTGGGTGACACCCAGCTGGCAAAAGGGCAATCACAGGACAACACACTTACAGGACCAAAAATCATTCGAGAGACTACAAAGAAGATAATCCAAATCAAAGCCCGACTCCAAGCGTCGCGTGACCGACAAAAGAGTTACGCTGACAAACGGCGAAAACCTCTGGAATTCCAAGTCGGAGATCAGGTGCTATTAAAGGTCTCTCCCTGGAAAGGGATGATCCGTTTTGGGAAACGGGGAAAACTAAACCCACGATACATCGGACCATACGAGATTCTTGCCCGAATTGGTCCGGTAGCTTATAAGTTGCAACTACCCTCGGAGCTCAGCAACGTACACCCCGTGTTCGACATCTCGAATTTGAAGAAGTGCTTATCAGATTAAACCCTTGTCATTCCTCTATAAGAAATCGAAATAAACAAGAATCTCCTGTTCGTCGAAGAACCAGTCGAGATAATGGATTGGGAAGTGAAGCGTACGAAACAGAGCCGCATTCCAATTGTGAAGGTTCGATGGAACGCCAAGCGTGGACCAGAATTCACATGGGAAATCGAAGACCAGATGAAGCAAAAGTACCCTCACTTATTCTCTCATTCATAATCCTACCTTTCGAAAGAATTTCGGGATGAAATTCCCTCTAACGGGGGGATGATGTCACAACTAGCTTTATTAGCTAGGAGAGTCTATTTTCATGACTCGAAGACCAGAACGCCAAACATGACTCTTTTATCATTCTTAGAAACATAATGATCATTTGAGAGCCAAAACAAAATCAGGAGTTCCTCAAACTCCATGAACATCCATGGAAGGGACCAAAATCATCCAAAATGAACCCAAACTTGAAATAAGAAGAACAAAGGTCAAGGTATGAACTCTATACCTTCAATAACTCAGAAATGAGAAGGGGGTAATGGATCCAAGCCAGCTCCTTGCTTACTTGCACCAATAAAAACTTCCTCCTTCCTCAAGCTTCACCAAAATCCAATAACAAGCTCTTTAATTAAACGGAAAAGATCTTAATCAAGCATGGAGGGTAGTGTTTCAAAATGAAGAGATGGAGGTTGATGGAGAATACCTAATCTACGAATTAAGATGCTTAAATATGGGAGAAACCCTAATAATCATGGGCTTGGGGTGCTACAGCCACCATGTTGTGGCACACTACTTGCCACGTCATGGTGTCCAATAAAACACACGTTCCTCGGATACCATGCCACGTCGTGACATACCATGCACCACGGCGTGGCATATGGGTTTCCTTAAAAGCATACCTTTGACTCCTTTAGGTCACCAACTGATCTATTCTGGAAAACGGGTGTTACACGTACTTAGGAAAACACCCATTATTCAACAAGTGTAACCACCATCACATAGGTGAATACTACTTCTACAATAAGTGCAACAAAAAGGGCACACTACCAACTTTTACAGAAGCCCAACACCTATAGCAGCTAGTTAAGGAACGAGCACATGAACGAGTACTGGAGGAAGCCAAACTTGTTTTGAGTGTGGAGAAGCCGGAAATTTCAAGAGAAATTGTCTAAAGTTGAAGAACCAATATGTGATGATCAAGATAGAGTGATTATGATTGGAACAATGGACAAAATCCATGATCCATCCATGGTGACTGGTATGTTCCTCATTAACAACTTATATGAAATTGTACTAATTGATTCTGATGTTGATATGAGTTTCGTAACCCCTAAGGCGGCGTTTGGTTCACATAATGTTTTTGAAGGAATTGGAATCTGTTGAGGAATTGGAATCTGTCTTGAATTGGAATTCCATTCAATATTCTGTTTGGTTAGCAGTAAATGGAATTTGAATCCAATTTTATATTTTGTTTGGTTGGCGGAAAATGAAATTTGAATAGTGTAAAATGACATAACTACCCTTCTTGGTTTTTTCTTACTTTTACTTTATGTTATAATTATATGTAAAGATATATTATATAAATTATAAAAATAGTAAACGATGGTGGCGGCGGCCGTGATGGTGGCAGAAGCGACAGTGGTGGTGATGGCGGCAGTGTGTGGTGGTGACGAAGGTGGAAGTGGTGGTAGTAGTGGCATCACTAATGTTGATGGTAGATTCAGTAGTGGTTGTGGCGGTGGGTGTTGGTGGCGGCGGTGGTGGAGGTGGATGTAGGTGGTGGCGGCGACGCTGGTGGTGGTGGTGGAAATAGAGGTGGTGGTGGTGATGATAGAGTTAGTAGTAACAACGGTAGTGGTAGGGTGGTGGTGTAGGTGGTAACGGAGGTTATTGGTGGTGGTGGTAGTGGTGGTGGTGGTGACGGTGGTGGTGGTAGTGGTGTCGGCGATGGTGATGGTGGCGGTGGTGGTGGTGGTAATGGAAGCGGTGGTAGTGGTGGGTGGTGGTGGAAGTGGCGACAACATCAGTGGTGATGGTTAGTGGTGGTGGTGGGTGGCAGAGGTGGTGGTGGTGGGTGGTAGTGGAGGTGGTGAGTAGTGGTGGCGAAGGTTGTGGTGGAGGTGGTCGCGAGTAGTGACAGAGGTTTTTCATATTTAATGTTAAAAATGAAAAGGGTAATATGGTAATCTTCAACATTCGCACTTGAAGGAATTTGAATTTCTTCATCTTTTAGATGGAATTTATTTTCCTTCAATGGAAGGAAAGTTGGACACATTTAGGAATCCAATTCCTTCTCAAAACTTGAACCAAACATAGGAAAGTGATGGAATTAAATTCCAATTCCTTCCGATTCCAACAGATTCCAGCGAACCAAACGACCCCTAAGTTTAGACATATGAATCTGGTAGATTGGAGGGAACCTATAGAGTATAGACGACTAATGAGCTGTCAGAAATCTACTTACAAAATTTTAACAAATTGCTATGACTTTCAGAAGTTTCAATGTCATTATCAATATGAATTGATTTTCTCTGTGTCATGCTAAATTATCGTGTTATGAAAAACAATAGGACCCATTCGCCTAATGGAGAAACCATGATCACCTATAGAAACCAGAAACGACAAAACCTTAAACTTATCTCTTGCACAAAGGCTCAGAAGTATTACACCTTCTTGGTGAACGTTGTAGATAAAAGGAGCAAGGAAAGGAGCTTAAAGATATACCTTAGGTATGCAAACTATCCTGATGTGTTTCCTTAGGATCTACCTAGGGATACCACCAGTTCGACAATTCGAGTTCCGAATCGACTTAATCCCATGAGCAACACCAATAACAAAGTATCCTCATAGGTTGGATCCATCATAAATGCAAGAACTGTCCAACGAACTACATGTACTTCTTAACAAAAGTTTTATCAGACCAAACTTCTCATATTAGAGAGCACCGAATCTCTTTGTGAAGAAGAATGACAGATCCTTCCGAAGGTGTATTGATTATTGGGAGCTAAACAAGTTAACTATCAAGACCCTTTACCCACCCCCAAGAATAGACGATCTATTCGATCGGTTACGAGGATCCAACTACTACTCCAAGATAAATTTAAGATCAGGATATCATCAACTCATGGCACTAGAAAGAGATGAACCAAAAATCGCACTTAGAACTAGGTATGGTCATACGAGTTCCTAGTTATGTCGTTTAGATTGAACGATGCTCTAACAGTCTTCATGGATCTTATGAACCATGTTTACAAACCATACTTGGACAAATTTGTAATTGTACTTATCAAAAACATATTGATATATTCACGAACCAAGGAAGAAAATGGCCAACCCATACAGTTAATCTTGGAACTACTAAGAAAGGAGAAGTTGTACGCCAAACTCTCCAAACTCTTTAAATGTGAGTTTTGTATTAGAGAAGTGAAATTTTTTGGCATGTGATCAACAAAAAACGAATCTATGTTTACCCTTCAAAAATAGAGGCAATCAAGAATTGGGAAGCACTGAGAACGCCAACTGAAGTGCACCAATTCTTAAGTCTTGCTGGCTATTATTGGTGATTCATTGAGAACTTCTACAAGATAGCCAAATCTCTCATAACATTAATGTGACATACCCATTTTTACGCCCAGAAAAGACCGATTTCATTTATGCTTTTATAATAAATCAGAGTAATCTTTCAAGGAAAAGTGTTGCGTAATTTGTTCCCAAAACAAAATATGATAAAAATTTATCAAAACATTTCTTAAAGAAATGTATTTTCATTACATTACAAAAACTCGGGATGTCAATCATCGATACAGATCATAAGCATAAACCAAAAACATCATAGGCCACAAAATAAAGTCTGGCCTCAAAAAAACATAGGCCTTACAACATTCCCTTTATTTTCTACTGGCCTAAAATCCATAATCTATCGTCAAGTCATCCAACTATGCTTTTGCCACTACCTGTAATACAAGAAACTAAGTGGGTCAGGTTGGGGATCCTGGTGAGCATATAGTGTTTTCAACCCACAATAAATAAGTTTATTATCTTCAACAATCATTAAACCCGATTACCCGTTCCCATTATCCTCACCTTACGTCCCTAAAGCATCTAGTATAAGGGACCTATCCTAAGGAATTTCATCGGGATGGACCCTACTGCTAAGGGTATTCCTCAGCCATACGGGTTCGTAAGGTAACCATGGGGGAGATAGAGTACACCGGTGAACACATCGTTCACAAACACCTACAGGTTGCGAGTTTGCTAGCGTTCCACTAGACTTCCTAGAAAAGTCTGTGGTCGTCATCCATACTCCGCTAGATGACTGGATCAACGTCAACATCGAGGCCTCACATCATTTTAATTCACCACACACCAACTATTTCATCTACCCATGTCTTACCCAACATATTTGTAGACATAAAATACATATGCAGTTCAGATCTGGAAAACAAAGTTTAAATCTTTCATACAACATAGATCTCAAAGTATAAAATATACATATACATTTTAGATCTGAAAAGTTTAGATCTGAAGTGAGAAAGTCTAGATCTGAAGGAAAAGGGTTCAGATCTGGAAGAAAAGTTTAGATCTTAAAGAAAAATTTCAGATATGAGAAGAAAGAGGTTCAAATCTTTCATCCATAATAGATCCCAAGTAAACAGATAATATATATACACGTAGCACGTAATTTATATAAAATACTTCATATCTATGTGTAAGATGAAAGTGACTATACACTCACCTGATAAGAAGTGATTCGGACAACACTTCGCTTCTTAAAATAATCTTCTTTGACGAAACCGGGAAGTTTGCTTGAAAACCGGGCTCCGCGCAGGCAAAGTTTCAAACCGAAAAGCTATTTTTTCTCGGAGACTCCGGGCTCTCCGAGGCTTTCTCCTAGAGCTAGAAAGGTTCCCTAGGCTTAGGGGGGGGGGGTGGGATAGGATAGAGAGAGTAGAGAAAGAAAGATAAGAAGAAATGAGCAAAAATCTCGGCAGCCCTCACACCCTTTTATAGGCCGAGGCCTCGGAGTACGTTAGGCGTACTGCTGGCCTACGCGACGCGTAATGCGAGCTCGTACAACACATGTCCAAAGCGGCTTGGAGCGACGTGGCTCAATGTGGACCGAGGAAAAAGTTAACCCGCGGGGCGTACCTCCTTCGTGCGCGGGGCGTACTTCGGACGCTGGGCGTTCCTTCTCTACGCGGAGCGTACCCCTCGCACCAGGTTCGAGATTTCCCACTCCGACTTCAAAATTTCATATCTTTCGCATACGAGCTCCATTTTCAACGTTCTTTATATCCACGCGTAGGCGGGACAGTACTCTACGACTTTCGTTTAGACTTCGTCGGCTAATTCTCGACCGATTTTAAATTTATATTCTTTAACAGACCGGGACAATAAAGCCTGTTAAAATTTCATAACTTCTTCATCCGACGTCCGTTTTCATCTGTCTTTTTACCGTTGTGCTACTATTAACGAGATCTTCAATTCTCGTTTCGGTTGTGTCGGCCAAAAATCGACCGATCTATTATTCGAACTTCGGGTTGTGCACTGCCGATCTGAAACTTAGAAAAATCACAACTTCCTCATACGAAATCGGATTTGGGCGTTCTTTTTATGCATGTTATCGGTTTAACAAACACTACGACTTTCGTTTAGATCGCTAGGGCTAAAAAGTCCTCTATCGTAAATTCACTATTTACGTCACGCAGTGTCGTGCCGGTTCTGTCGCGAAACTTTCACAGGCCATAACTTCTTCGTTATAACTCGGATTTAGGCGCTATTTATGTCTCCGAAATCCTTGTCACCACCACTACAACCTTATTTATCGATATCGGGCTTATCTAACATTTTATTTTTGACGCTTATTTTTATCCTTTATTTATTATATTATTATAAACAAGTAATAAGCACACAAACGCACATAATTCACATCATATTCAAGTAATTCATCTTTATTACTTTAAAATGGGTTACAATGGTTGACCTAGACTATTACATTGTCATTAATGCTTAGCCTAGAAACACGGGCGTTACAATTAACACATAAGGAAACAAAGTTCAACTGGGAAAACAAACAAGAAGATGCTTACTAGAAACTAAGGAAAATGTTGTGTAGCGCACCAATCCTATCTCTTCCAGAAAGAATTGAAGACTCTGTCATATAATGTGACACATCATCAAGGATTAGGGTGCGTATTGATGCAAAGAGACAAGGTTATTGCCTCCGCATCGAGACAACTTAAAGTCCATGAGAACAATTACACTACCCATAACCTTGAACGGGGAGTTGTAGTCTTCGGTCTAAAGATTTGGAGACAACACATATATTGTACGAAGTGTACCATCTTTATTGATCACAAGAGTCTCCAACATATCTTCAACCAAAAAGAACTCAACATGAGGCAATGAAGATGGGTCGAACTCTTGAATGATTATAAATGTAAGATTCGTTTTTACCCCGACAAGGAGAATGTTGTAGCAGATGCCTTGAGCCGGAAAGAACGCATGAAACCTCGTTAAGTATGAGGACTGGCAATAACTATCTATTCCAAACTTACTGTAACACTCGGATCCCAAGGTAGTTAAAGTTTTCAATTTTTCTTAGCATTTAAGGGATTTCCACGCCATGGTGGAAGCCACTACGACGTGGCAAGCCAAGTTGGATCATGGGTTTCATTTAAACTGCCACATCGTGGCATCTGGAATCTGAGAAACCCTATTTTCTGGGTTTTTGTCCATATTTAAATGATTGAGGAGGCTAGCGTTTGCTCACCCTCAGCCTCCATCAACATCCTTGAGACCTGAGAAACCCTAATCGCACTCCTCCTTTATTTAATCCCTTTTGGTGTTCTTTGAAGCCATTGAAGGAAGAAAGAAGAAGAAGAAGTGAGCTAGGATTCAAAAGCTAGTGCCCATCCTTTGTTTTGGCACTCTTCTGGACCTTTTTAAGTGTCCAAGACTCGATTTTTATCATAACAGGTTGCTAGATCTTATGTTTTGTCCCTAAATCTTCATGTTATTATTG